AGAAATGATTCTAAATCTACAGATAGAAATCCAGAAGATTAATACAAAACACTGATAGTCTAGTGGTGGCTGCACAAAAGATACATTGGCCAGGAATCAAACCTGGGTCTCCATGGCAGATGAGAATTCTGTCACCGAACCACCAAAGTACCCAATACAATGGCTGTTAAGGCTCTATAGTACCTGGTCTCCTTAGCTGCAAATATTTTACAATATACTGCAGATATTGTGGATGCTCTGGTGGTGTAGTGCCTAAGGCAGTTAATTGACTGCTAATCAGAAGGTTGGCAGTTCAAACCCACCAGCCACTCCTTGAAAGGAAGATTGGGCAATCTACTTCTGTAGAGATAGCGCCTTGGATTGTACTTATCAATATTGTGTATTTACTTGTTTATTTCTTAATATTCTTGTCCAAGTATGATAGGAACTTTGATTGTTTCATTCACTTTTTCTTATTCAGCTCTAGTATACAGTAAGTGCTTAATATTTATTGATGGAATTGAAGATCAAAGCATGAAAAATAAGCATTCTGAATAGTGAAGATAGTGTTAAGAAAGAATAATAGGAAGAGTATAGTTCATCAATATGCTCTAGCTGGAATTCTCTTTGGAAGCAAGAATGGACAGGCTTCATCTCACCTACCTTGGTCATCTTGTCAGAAGGAACCATTCTCTGGAAAAGGATATCATGCTTGGTAAAGTGGAAGGTCAACGAAAAAGAGGAAAGCCTCAATGAGATAGATTGACACAGTGGCTATAACAATGCCCTCAGGTATAACGGGGATCGTGTGGTTGACACAGGACTGGGCAGTGTTTCATTCTGTTGTGGCTAGGGTCGCTGTGAGTCAGAGATGACTTGATGGCACCTAACAACAACAACAACATAATTCATCAATATGCTCAAGCATTAGAACAATTTGATAGTAGCCTGAATAAACTGATTGTAGATAAAATAATAGGGAATCTGTACATAGAATGAAATAAATGTCAGAATTTAATATATGATAAGATATTTCTGATGTTTTCAGAAAAAAGTGTATTCAGTAAGTGAGATAAGAACCTAAGGCTGAGGAGAATCAAATCACTTATAAGAAATAAAAGTAGCAAATCTTTGCTTATTTAAGAATACTATATAAGGGTCAGCTGCCTGGCCACCTGACTGAAAGAGATCCATATTTGTGCCCATTCCCAAGAAATGGAAAGAAAGGTGATCCAACAGAATTTGGAAATTATCAAACAATATCATTAATCCCACATGCAAGTAAAATTTTACTGAAAATAATTAAAAACCACTTCCAGTGATGTATTGACAGGGAACTTCCTGAAATGCAAGCTGCATTCAGAAGAGGATATGGAATGAGGGATATCATTGCTTATGTCAAGTTGAAAGCAAAGAA